GAGCCCAAGGCAGGTGTTCTGTGGTCATAGTGCAGGTTTGAGTGTTACTGTCACCTTCTTTTGTTATTGGTTTTTGGAGTCACTTGGTATGGCTGTAATATATTTATGTCTCAGTTAAAAGGTCTTTCCAGGTGACATTACATACATGAGACTGTTCTTAGATAATCCATCCTCACTTTTCCTAGTTAAATCTTGCTCTGCTGTAGAAAATTCTTCAGGAATGTTGAGCCTTTTGTTGACTAAAATCTAACACGGAAGTGAGTTGATTGATTACTAGTGTGATAGAGATGATGTGAATAGTGAATATGAAGCTAAACATATTGTAAGTCTGCTATTACTATTTACATGCTCTGAGGAAAAAATACACTGAATGAGACATTCCCCGTTCAGTGGGGGGGTGTTACAGTTTTGTTCCCTTGGTACAAGTGACCTGCCAACTTCCCTGATTAGAAATGTTGCATTTGTGAATCCCTGTGCACTTTGTTTTGACTTCCCTAGAGTATTTAATGAACTATTATGCATGGGTGAAGGGCAACTAAGGAAATGGGTTATAGAATAAAACAAAATGTAAAACCACCTAGGAGAAGAATGAGGGAATGGGAAGAAGCTGAATTGTCAAAGATGGCTTATTAAACAGCTCAAAGAGGAAGGTTGTGCAACTAAATCTCAGCGTTATCTTTTTTTTTTTCTTGTTACCCAAGGGTCGTGTAAACTTGAGCATTCATCTCTTAATATGCGTGAGCAGACGTGTACAAAACACCTTCATGCCTTGGGGAGAATGCAGTTAAAGTATTTCTGGCAATGCTGTCCTGATCTTCCTCTTGGTTCCATGACTGTGTTGAAGGGCAGCAGCTTCCTGCCTTGTTTGGGTGCCAGCTCTTCCTGTGCCATGCTTTCTGTTCCATCTTACAACAGTCAGCCTCAATGAAGACACAGCTGAAGTGCCTCTTTGCAAATGCACATAGCATGGGGAGCGAACAGGAGGAGCTAGAGATGTGTTCATGCCTCCAAGGCTATGATCTCATTGGCATTGTAGAAATATGGTGGGATGACTTCTGCAACTGGAGCGTGTTGGCATGGAAGGCTACAGGCTCTTCAGAAGAGACAGGAAAGGGAAACAAGAAGGCAGTGCTGCCTTATATGTCAGCGAGCAGCTGGGATGCATGGAGCTCAGCCTAGGGATGGATAAAGAGCCAATTGAGAGCCTATGGGTCAGGATTAAAGGGAACATTACAGGGGACGTTACAGTGGGAGTCTGCTACAGGTCACCCTACCAAGAAGACCAAGTGGATGAAACTCTCTATAGACAGATAGGGGTGGCATCGTGTTCACAGGCCCTGGTCCTCATGGGCGACTTCAACCACCCTGACATCTGTTGGAAGGGTAACACAGCCAGGCATAGGTAATTCAGGAGGTTCTTGGATTGCATTGATGACAGCTTCCTTCTCCAAGTGGCTGAGGAGCCAACGAGGAGAGGAGCTATGCTGGATTTTGTTCTTACCAACAAGGAGGGGCTGGTAGACAGTGTCAAACTCAAGGGTAGCCTGGGCTGTAGCGACCATGAAATGGTCGAGTTCCTGATCCTTGAGGCAGTGAGGAAAGTGTGCAGCAGGCTGACCACCCTGGACTTTGGGAGAGCTGACTTTGGCCTCTTGAAGAATCTGCTTGATGTGGTGTACTGTTCAACATCTTTGTTGCGGATATGGACAGTGGGGTTGAGTGCGCCCTCAGCAAGTTTGCCGATAATACCAAGCTGTTTGGTGATGTAGACGTGCTGGAGGGGAGGGATGCCATCCAGAGAGACCTGGACAGGCTGGAGAGGTGGGTCCAAGCCAACCTCATGCAGTTCAGCAAGGCTGAGTGTAAGGTCCTGCATCTGGGACGGGGCAATTCTAAGCACAAATACAGGCTCGGCGGGGAATGGCTGGAGAGCAGCCCTGAGAAGAAGGACCTGGGTGTGCTGATTGACCAGAAGCTCTGCATGAGCAATGTGCAGTCGCAGCCCAGAAGGCCAACCGTATCCTGGGCTGTATCAAAAGAAGTGTGGCTAGCAGGGCAAAGGAGGTGGTT